TTGTATCTGTGTATTCAAAGTGGTTAGGATAGATATATAGTTACATTCTCTTAATGAATAGAGTGATTTGTTCTAATGGTGTTTGTAGATAGGATATCATGTCCGCATCTTGTACGGCATTTAACCACTAGGAAGAATGTATGCAATATGTTAATTATTGAAACTATCCTACCAATTTGGTTTGAAACTGTCTCATTGCTATTTGTTTCTCAATAAAATTATGGAAAAAAAATTTTAAAAAGAAAATATACAGTCTATACCACAAGACCCCAGATGGAAAAATTAGTTGGAAAATACAAACACAATAAGTAGATTTTGGGCCAGGCAGATAGCTCAGTGGATTAAAGTGCCTACTTAGGCAGATGCAAGGACTGGGGTTTGATCCCTGATATGCCATGTCAGCCCTGCCCTGGGGGTGTGCTGAGATGGCAATTGAAACTGGGCATGGTGGCCCGCGCCTATAACCCCCAGGCTTGGGAAGCTGAAAACAGGAGAATCACTACGAATCCAATCTGTGTAGTCAAACCTTGTAGACCCTGTACTAAATATATTTTTTAAAAAATTTTAAAATAAGTAGGTTTTAAAAAGAAATATTCAAAATGTAGTGACTAAATTTGTAAAAGATTTTCCATCTCATAAGCCTTAAGAAGCTCTACCTACTCTAAATATAATTATTTGCTATAAAGTTGTTTAACAATTTAATAAATATGTTTTCCTATATATAGTTCTTGACAGGATTATAAATCCAATGATAATCAGTACAGTAATAACATTTTAATGCCTCAGGTTCCATAACAGTCAAACTGCAACATAAAATTCATCTCAATCGCGCTTCAGGGGAAATGCCGTTAAGTGTGCAGATTGTGAGCCGCATGGCGGTGTGCCTTCCTCTCGTGGAATAGCTTTCATTTCTCAGAGAATGCTGACACGTTTGTTTTAATAAAATAAAAATCTATGACTTGTGTACAAATAGGAAAGCATTTTTTTTTCACTACATTAATTTTACATATTTTAGAACCTACAGTGAAACCTATAGGTTAGAAAAAAACAACTCAAATATTCTGGATCTCTGACAAACATCTCTGAAATAAGCATTTCAGAAAGTACAACAAAATAAATATGGTAAATATTAGATTATGACAAGAAGTATGCAATAAATATCTATAAATCGATACTCATATGAATGGTTAAATAAATAAGCAGGAATAACTGAAGGAATCTACCACGCAGAAGAATTCCAAATGAACTGTGTGGTTCTCCAAGCTCTGGGAGGTACAACACAATTCCCATTCCTAAGTGTGAGCTGCATATATTGACTCCCTTCCAACAAATACAGTGAGGAAAAGTGGGCTGTGAATAACCTTCAAGTGAAGAAATCTGATATGCACGACCTCATCCAGATTGTCAAGGTCAATGTCGACAGCGATGTCCTGCTGACAGCATGTACCCTTGTCATAACGTGATGAGAATTGCACTTTACCTCTGCATCTTTCCTCCCCAAAACCCCTAACCCCAGTCTAATCATAAGAAAAACATCCGAAGAATCCCAAGTGAGGAGTCTTCTATAAAAAGCCTGACTAGTATTCCTCAAAACTGTCAAGGATGTCAAAATCCAGGAAAGTTGGTGAAACCATCACGGTCAAGAGGAGCCTAAAGAAAACGTAGATTTATATCTAAATGTAATAGGTTCTCCTAAAGTGTCCTGCAACAGAAAAAGCACATTACTGAAAATTAAAGAAATGTAAATCAGATACTGTACAAACTTCTGTTAGTTATTGTACATCAATATTAGTTCATAAATTGTGACCAAAGTGCATTAGTGAAAGATGTAATAATAGAACAAACTAGAAACAAAGTAGTAAGTACTCTGGGCTGTTACAACTTTTTCTGAAACTATTTGAAATTAAAAGTTCACTGAAAAGCAATAAAAATGAAATACAGATAAGTGACCCTTTCTTCACTTTTTTCCCTCTTGCTTTTCTTTTTCCCTTTGTCTTTCCCCGCCCCCCGTTATTTCTCTAACAATATCTAGAAAGTCAAATGATAAAGTCGAGCCTTAACACTCACAAATCAAATACTCATCAGTTACATAAGAAATTTTCTGTGTAAAAAATTTTAAATTGGAAACCATTTTCCTTTATTATTTTTAAGACATGTCTCCATTATCTTAGATTCCAGCACTGCTGTTGTAGTAGCGATGCCATTTCAATGTATACTTTGTTTTTAAATTTCTCTCTCTAGACAGAGAATGCTTTTACTTTCTCCTGTGCCCTGAGACTTCCTGAGGGGGTTGCCTTTATGAAGGAAACAAGGTGGGCCTTTCAGCTAAGAAGGTTAGGTGCTTCCATTCTGCACAATGTTTGTTTTCATTTTCTTGTGTTTTTACTTTTCCTTTTTATTATACTTATCCAACTATTGAGCCTGTACTGAATATTTTGGGTCCTCTGAAGTTTTCATTGATGCCTTCTGTAGTGTCATGCCTGAATAATCTGATGTTGTGTATGTCTTTCATGCAAAGGCTTCCTCTGATGTCTGGTAATTGTTGATTGTACATATTTAAGAGACACCATTTAATTAAACAGGTAGATTATTCAACCTTAAAAAAAGAAATCTTCTCACATGCCACAACATGGATAAACCTCAATGAGTTTAAGCTAAGTGAAAAACAATAGATACAGAAGCGGAAGGATGGCTAGGCTCTGCTTCTTGGAGCTACCCAAAGTAGCCAAACTCAGTGCAAACACAGAATGATGGTTGGAGCTGGGAAAGATAGAGTTGTTCTCACAGTGAGTGTAGAGTTTGAGTTTTGCAAGATGAAAACTTTCT